CATAAATATAGGAGTTTGGGGCAGTTTCATTCTCTCCCCTTGGCTTCTAGTGCTTAACCAAATAAGCTTAAAATTAGTCATAAATATAGGAGTTTGGGGCAGTTTCATTCTCTCCCCTTGGCTTCTAGTGCTTACCCAAATTTTACCTACTAAATTCACTACTAGAGGGAGTCCCTACATTCCTTCAAATTCTGAATCTATAAAGAGAAAAAATCTAAACAAAACCAAGCAAAAAACTAAATCTTTAGCTGGAGGGAGGTTTTATTTCTATTATCAGCATTAAAATAATTTACTTAAGCTTCTTAACCTAGAACAGCTGCATTTGAAGTTACATTGTTTAGGCATAATCAATAGTAAAGAAATACATCATGGTTGTTCACTTAACAACTTTCATTTCCAAAATGAGACAAAGGGAGAGGGGAGGAGGAAGCTACAATTGACAAAATAATGACATAATTTAAATAAAATAATCTGACTTAAATTACATCATTACCTCTAAAGTTCCAAATAAGACCGGAAAATTTTTTCAGAAAATGATTCACTTGTATATTTGTTTCCACACTACTCAAAGCACTCGGGTTAAAGAATGGTGAACCCAACACCTAGTACATGACAATTTCTCAGTAAGTAGTGCTGAATAAATGAGTGAGTGAAGTTAATGTAACTCTTTGCTTCTACTGAACCTCTCTTAAACCACCCTAAATAAATTGGAATTCATTTAATGTGATGCAAAAATAAGTTTGTACTATTTTACAATAAATATACATATATCATATAGTAGTTTAAGAAAAGTCAGTTAAAAAAGCAGTATTTAAGAAAAGTCACTGAAAAATCAGGTTATACATCTTATAACCTGGAACAATAATTCCCAGAGATTTTGGAATACTACACCCAATGACTGACCAATCATGGACACATACTCTCCTTATTCCAAATAAGGAATGGAACTCATCCACTACTTAAAATAATTTATTTATGTTTATATTTGTTTAAGAACTTTGCAAAAAATCATAAGAGTGAGAGAGTGTGTGTGTGTGTGTGTGTGTGTGTGTGTGTGTGTGAGAGAGAGAGAGAGAGAGAAAGAGAGATGTTGATCCTTATGCAGTGGGAAGAGCATTGGAGAGGGAAGACAAAGGATTTAGTTCCAGCTCTGCTACTATCTCATTATGTGACCTTGGCCAACGCACTTGGCTTCCCCATGCCCAGCTCCTCTTCTTTGAAATGATGTGTACCAGGAGAAAGCATACCCTATAAAAAAGAAAGTGCCTCCAAGCAGTAAAGACAAGAACAGCTGTGCTCATGCACGTTATGAAATATCTGTTGTAAGATCAAAGAGCCCAGATCTCAGGAGAACACGTCCTAGAACACGTCCATTCCATATATTGGGTTGAGATTGAAAGAGTTCAATTCGATTAATATTTGTTCAACAATTACTAGTCTATACTTGAGACATTTGCTAAAGATTTAAGTTACATGATGAATAATGTAGTTCTTGCTCTAATACATCAATACTTTCACATTGATACTAAGATAAGGGCTATGATGTTTAATTTGTGTCACTTGACTGGACCACTGGATGCCCAGACATTTGGTCAAACATTATTCTGAGTGTGTTTGTGAGGTGTTTCCAGATGAGATTATTATTTGAATTGGTAGACTGAGTTAAACAGATTGCCCTCCCTAAAGTGGTAGGGCCTCATACAGTCAGCTGAAGAGCTGACCAGAACAAAAAGGCTGAGGAAGAGGGAACTCCTCCTGCCCTATTGTGTAAGCTGTGATTTTTTTTCTTTTTTTCTTTTTCCTTTTTTTTTCTTTCCAGCCTTCAGAATCAGCCAGAAATATCAGTTCTTCTTGAGTCTTGAACCTGTCAGCTCTTGGATCGGAATTCATTCCATCAGCTTTCCTGGGTCTCTAGCTTATTGACTGCATATATTGAGACTTAGCCTCTATAATCACATGAACCGATTTTTATAATAAAACTGTACACATATAATATATAATATATATTAAGCACATACTATATATATATAATTTTGTTTCTATTCATTCTGCTTATCTAATAACAAGGACCAAACTCCTTAGCATGGCTAAAATGCCCTACATAACCTGGCCCCTATCTACCCCTCAAACTGTATCACACAATCACATGTCATGATGCCTACCTCCTCCACTCGAGCCTCATTGGTTTTTTCTATTTCTTCACATATGCCATGCTTCCTCTGTCACGGGATTTTCGCTCACTCACTCCCATTTATTCACTGATAAACTCAACTACTTACTGAGTTCCTATTGTGAGTCAAAGACTATGGTGGTATGAGGAATATAATGGGAACAAGATAGCAAATATCGGGTTTCATGGAGAATATATTCTAGTCATGGGAGATAGAAATAGCTTATAAACAGTTTAATTTCAGAGTGTGACTGACATGTGCTTCAGAGGAAACAAAACAGTATGATATGGTAATCAGTAGGTAATTGGAGAAAGTCTCACTCTGACATACAGCCTTTTAAGCAGAACTCTATGTAATAAGAAAGAATTAGCCATATGACAATCTGAAGAAGACATATTCTAGGCAAAGAAAATAGTAAACACAAAACTAACTCCAAAATGAGATTGATATATGCTAGGAACAGAAAGATATTGTAGCTATAGCACAGTGTAGCAATGAGAGAAGTAGATGGGTAGGAAAGAATGAGACAGAGCCTTCACAGCCAGAGTAAGGATTTAAATTTTTATTTAAGTATACTGGGGGTCTGTCTTAATTCATTTGTGTTGCTATTAACAAAAACACCATAAACTGGGTGGCTTATGGAAAACAGAAAGTTATTTCTCAAAGTTCTGGAGGCTGTGAAGTCCAAGATTATGATGCTGGCAAATTTGGTGTTTGGTAAGAGCCTCTTCCTCATTGATGGTTATATTCTTATTGTAACACGGCAAGGGAGCTCTCTAGGGTCTCTTTTTATAAGAACATTAATTCTATCCATGATGGTTCCATTCTCGTGACCTAAGTACCTTCCAAAGGCCCTACCTCCAAATATCTTAATGTTTAGGATTCCATTTCAAAGACCAATCAACAGAGGCTTTGAGAGGTGGCATGATCTGATCTACATTTTTGATATGGCGTTGCAGTATGTAACTATGGACATAGAGAGATCAATAAGGTTTGTAATAAAGGTGAATGATGATAGTAGCTTGGATTACAGTAACGTAGAAGAAATAAAGAATGATTAAGGATAAGTTTTGGAGGCACAACAAACAGGAATTGCCAGTGTACCTGCAGAAAAGAAAAAATAACTCCTAGGTTTTTGAACAATCAGCTGGAGGGTGATACCATTTTCTAAGGCATGAAAGTTGGGTAGAACTAAGAATGGGGCTGTGGGGGAGGGCAATTTGCCTACATTGTCCCTCTCTCTGGACTGTTTTTCCCTCTCTGTTCACGCAGTTAACCTCTTCCCAATCTTTGGATCTCAGCCTCAAATGTCACTTTCTTAACGAAAGTGACATTTTAAGAACGTGACATTTCTCCGATTACACAGTTCAAACCAAACTTCTGAATTAAGCACATGTGCCTTCTCTTGGTGACATGTGCCTTTCTTCAGTACCCGATATGTTGCAAAATACGTTGCCTCTGTAGCCTCTGTGAGTGAGGCCATCCAGCGACCAGCAGACCACCCAGCTGACCAGAAAGATAAAAAAGAACCCAGCTGAGCTGACCCAAAGTAGAGCCACCTAAGCCCACACGTAGAATCCTGAATTAGGAAATTGTTGTAAATCACAAGGTTTTGTGGTGGTCTGCTACACAGCAAAAGCTGATGCAGTAGCACATTCCTAAATTGCAATTTTGCATGTGGTTGTTTGATTAGTGTCTATTCCTCCAAGAGACTGTGAGCTCTATTAAGGGTGAAGACTCTTCTCATGTTAAATTACCACTCTATGCTCAGAGCCTGGCATATCTGGACTACAGCAGGCCTTCAATAGATAACTTGCTAAATGAATGAAAGCGGAGAGGAGAGGTATACATTGTAACATGAGAGATTAAGGCCTTCTATAAGAGAGGTAACAAAGGACTAGGGACATACACATTTGTCCAAAACAAAGTTCTGTCAGTACAAGGTGTTGAGGAATACAAGACCGAAATTAAATTTCCTCTGCCTCCAAGAGTTCAAAGTCTAGTCTACTACAGGAGACAGTACAAAATCAACAATATACCGCAGAGAAAGGGGCCCTATCACTCTCTGGAAGAGGGAAGTGTGAGAGTTGTCGCGGGAGGTTTCTTGAGAGAGAAAGAGCTTGAATTTAGTCCTAAAAGTGTTTACTTGGAAGAGCAGCATAAATGAAGGCCCAGAGGGCAGAAAGGACATGAGTATCCAAAGGTAAAGAGAAGTCTGTTTATCTCAGGGTACTGTTACAGCTTAAGTGTCCGTTTCCTCGTCAAATCCTCAGGCCCTTCTGGGTGGTGGTGCCTTCTTCTTATCTTTGAATTATTCCCAGGGTCCAACACAAACTTTTCCACAAAATAGGAAATCAATAAATATTTGTCAAATAAATGAAAAGTTAAAGATGAGGCGGTAAGCACTTCTCCTTCCAAAGCTTCCAAGAACCCATATTTTCAGATTCAACACGGGTAATCAGACAAGTTGAGCATAAACTCTAAGACCAAACGTCGCATAAGCAGTATAAGGACCCCGTTGGCCTTTAGTTTTGCGTTTCCCTCCTAGTGACTGGCGGATTGGCTTGAAATTTTCCTCCTTTGTTCACAGTCCAGCCCGACGGACCGGAGACCGGCGCTGGGTCGGCGCGACTCTGCAGGAGGATGAAAGGCCCAGCAGTAGGCATCCGCGTCCGCGAAGTGCAGATACACGAAGCGGGCTAGAGCGCGGGCGGGAAGGCGCCGCGGCACCCGGCTGGGCCTAGCCGCTGGTCCCTCCTGTCGCCCCGGGGTCGCTGACTCGGGTATTGGCCGCGGGGACGCGCGCCGCTTTGCCGTAGAAACGACGGGAAGGCGCGGCGGCGCGCGGCGCGGGCTCTCGGGATCCGGCGGCGTCTGCGCGCGCCCCAGCGCAAGCGCGGGCGCATCGGAGCCCGTCGTTGGACCCCAGTCGAGGGGCCCGGCGGTGCGCGAACTAAGATGTTGAGGCGAAGCTTGGAAAACCGGTAACAGCCCCGGGGTCCCAGCTGCCCGAGATGCCGCACACGCGAGGGCACGGTGGGGGAAAGCGGCGCCTCTCTCCGTGAGGCCTCTGCGCCCGGTTCCGATCCTTAGCCGGCGGCCCGGCCCTCCCCGCCGCGCTCTGGGGCCTGCTTCGCCGTGCTGCACCAAGCCCCGGAAGCCGGGGCCGGGCCAGCTGTACTCAGTCCCCGCACTGTCCCGGGCGCTGTAGACGCCCGGGAAGCAGCCGGGTGCCCAGGCTGAGCAGCCCTAGTAGCCGCCACCCCGCCGCTCTGTGGCGGCGGGAGCCGGGCCTCTTCCAGCGCCTACACTGTTGGGATATTAAGGCCAGGCCCAGAATGGGAAACTAGAGGGGACTCTGCCTCATGAGAAGCCGCCAAGTGCCCCGAGAGTGTTTGTATGTCAAATTAACGTGAAGATGAAGCCATTTCGTCCCTAATGAGAATGAGTTATTTTCTGCGTCACTTTTTTCTCTAGGGACGCTCAAACCAGACAACTGCAAGATGCTGTCACAAATGTGGAGAAGCATTTTGGAGAACTGTGCCAAATCTTTGCTGCTTATGTGCGGAAAACTGCCAGACTGCGAGACAAAGCGGACCTCCTGGTGAATGAAATCAACGTGTATGCCTCTACGGAGACCCCAAATTTAAAGCAGGGCCTGAAAAACTTTGCTGATGAGTTTGCCAAACTTCAGGACTATCGACAAGCAGAGGTATGGAGTGAGGTCACAGCGTCATTGTTATGAATGAGTCCTGAAGTAGTGGATGGAGAAACCCTGAAGACTCACTTTTAATCTGCAGTGGTAAACACACACTTGATGATAAGCCTCCCTTATGTCTGTAACATTGTGTGAGTCTGTGATTTTACCAGATTTTTTTAAGCTTCTTGTGATTTTACCGTTTTCAAACTAAATTTTAAGGTATCTTGAAATCCTAAATTTCCCCATTTCATTTGCCACTTTTGGGCCAAGGAGTGGCTATTTACAGTGGGTGTAAACAAAGTGCCCATGGGGAAGAAAAGGAGCATGTGTTTTATGTGCATGTAAGTATATTTTAAAGTATGTCTGGAGATGGAAGATGTTGGGAATGGTAATATGAGTGAATAAATAATGAATGGACAAGAAATCTTCGCTGCTTCCATGCTCTGGAAAGTTTCACTGGGGGAAAAAAAAGCACTGATTTATATCATAGATGCAAACCAGTAGTGAGACTGGGGAGATTTCTGCTGGGTCAGGGGAAGGTGAGAAGTTGGGGTTGTAATTGTTTTCTTTCTAAAAGCCTACTTTTTCCTGTAGTACCTCATAAACACTTTCAGTTATGTTAATTTTAGGTTTCAAGGTACAGGTTAATGTGTCAGAAGTTGCCCAATTAGAGCTGCATCGCTTCTTTGGCACTTATCAGTGCTTTCAGTGGTTTTTTAAAGCCTAATACAGAAATTGCAATTATCAAAAAAAAAAAAAAGGGTATAATGATCTTTGAACCTATAATTGTTATTCATTTACATTTGGGAGGTAGTTTTGGGGAAAATGTTGATATATTTTTTCTGTAATAACCGTTATACATAACTGGGTACTTACTATTTCAAAAATAATTTATACTCACAGATAACCTTAAAATCCCATGTTAGCTAATAATTTCAGTCCCCCTTTCTAGAAAACCTTTATGCTATTTATCAAATAGCAAAGTAAATTGATTTAGATTTATGCTCCTTTTTATTTCCCTTGCTTACCAAATGGTGGAGATGCTAATGAACAATGAACAAAAGGTAGGCAACAAAAAGGAGAACAGAAATAAGACTCGAGTAATCCATACACTGAAGAATCAGTGTATGGATTATTTGACATGATATCAACTAACCTATCCTGAATATTCACGGTTTTGATTTTAGGGTTCCTTATATTTAAATGCTCAGTGAGAAGTTGATTTTTTTTGTTTTTCTAAAATCTTTTAAAATGAAACATTGATATGCATTTTACTTATAAAAGCTAAAGAAAAATCAATATGAAATGCATTCACTGATTGTATCATCAAATGTTCTCAGAAACATGTATCATCAAGCTTTTTCCTGCTCCAAAAATAATATATGTTCATTTTAAACAGTTAAATATGTGTCATCTTGTATTACCTATCTTGAAAAAGAAAATTTTAATGTCCAAGAATTATTTTTCTTTTGCTATATACTTGCCTTTAAAAGAATTCATTTCCTCAGTGCCTTTTACTAGTTCTATTAGTAAAAAAAATTGCCTAAAATGTGATAAAATGTTTTTTAAATCTGGTTAATTCTCAATAGAGATCAGTCATACAGCTTGACAGCTCAGCAACACTTGAAACCATTTATCATTTTCTAATTAATGAATGGCTTCTCAGAAAAAAAAATTACAGCTAATCAATGGTATTAAGCTTTCCTGCTTTCGAGGATTGTGTTACTTTAAATGTTTCTAATATGCTGAATCTTTCAGCTTTGATGTTCCTATCTGGAAAGCTGGTTTGTTATTACATATTGGAGGTGATGTATGTAAAGTATCCAACACCGTGCTAAACACACTGAAAGTGGTAGCTGTACTGAAATTTGAGATGTCTTAAAGCTTACCCAAAAGCTACTACTTTGAGGTAGAAACATGATGGTGTGACAAGGATGAGCTCCTTGGAAACCTGAGACGTTTTCTTGTCATATTGCACACCAGGTGCTTTTCTGCTTTTATATTTAATATACAGCTTAACGATTTTGAATGTGTTTGAGGTTGGATTCTGAGTCTTTTCAATTTCGGGTTATTATTCTTTATGAAGATAAATTGAACTATAACACTTTAATTTAAAATTTTTTAAATTAATCTGTGTAGTAATTATGTTCAGGTTAAAAAGCACAGGTTTTAGTTCAGAATTAAAATTTCGATATGTCTGTTTCTTTTCAGTTATATTTTATAATAATTTTCAATAGGTTGAAAGACTTGAAGCCAAAGTAGTTGAACCATTGAAAGCTTATGGAACCATTGTAAAAATGAAACGGGTAAGTAAATTCATTATTTTTTTACTATTCTGGTGAAGAGGATAAGGCTTCCAATAGTTGTCCTTTTAATAAAAAGTACAAAGTAGTATTTAGTCACTTTTTACACACTCTGAAGTGTCATTTCTTAGAACTTTGAGAATAATGAAATATTTTTAGTGAGCTTACTAAATATACTACTGTAGCAACATGTAGCATTTTTTATTATGGAAACTTTAAAATATTTAATATTTATAGTCTTTAAGAATATATGAATAGAAATTATTTTACTAAATATAAGTTTATACTTTTGTTTCAAAGCAGCCAATAACATGTGGACTAAAAATGAATGTGATGAAGTTTTATTTTCTTATTGAGGTATAATTGACAAATTAGTTTCAAGTATACAACATAATGATTCAATATTTGTATATATTGCGAAATGATCTCCAAAGTAAGTCTAGTTAATATCCTTCACCATCCATAGTTACAAAAATATTTTTTGTGATGAGAGATTTTAAGATCTACTCTCTTAGCAACTTTCAAATATGCAATATAGTACTATTAATCAATCACCATGCTATACATTACATCCCCACAGTTCTGTTTTTTAAATCAACTTTACCGAGGTATAATTTACATGTAATAAAATTCTCCCATTTTAAGTATTCATTGAGTTTTGGCAAATGTGTATATATATGTAACTACTACCACAATCAAAATTTTACATACATATTTATATTTATGTGGTTATAGTTTTACATTGAAATTATCTTGTCTGTGTCATTATTTTGAGGGGATACTAAAGAACCACACATGTGCACACTCTCACACACAAAGATACACACTAATTATGCAGTAGTAATAATTCTTTTGGTAATGATGCCTGGATCAAACAAGGACCATTTCTCCCATTCTTAAATCAGAGTGCATTTTATTTCTTAAATCACAGATTTTTATTAACAAAAAAATGCCTATTTACAGGATGACCTCAAAGCAACATTAACAGCAAGGAATCGAGAAGCTAAGCAGTTAACTCAGTTAGAAAGAACACGTCAGCGAAACCCATCTGATCGACATGTTATTGTATCCTTTGAATTTGGTCTTAAAAAAATGTTTTGTAAGGTATGCAGTACAGAAGTAAATATATGTGGAAATGATTAATTTCTACTTTTAAATATGCAAAGAATTTGAATATAAAGGTTAAAAGAAACACATGCACTTATGAATTCTCACTATAGAAATCAGATAATTTTAAAGAGAATATACCACCTAATTCAGTCCCTTTTACATTATTTTCCACATTAGATATTCAAAAAATAAAACTCATAAAAGTAGATGTTTTTATAAAGAGTAAATTCAAACTTGAGATTTTTTTCATGATAATGACTAAATATTAATATAAAAAGTAACTTAAAGATCTATCATTAATCATATCAATATTATATGCCCTGCTTTTGAGAAAAGGAAGGAAAATCTTTTTTCCCAATGTAATTCCCTTCATCTTTAAAATCACAATTATGACTTCTACCAAGACCTTCAAGAGTTCAGGAGTATAGTTGATGTCCATGGCTGGGCACCAAGGGATCTAGATAGGAGTGTCTACTGTAACAAGGTTCTTCTGTTAAGAATGACTGTTGCTTAAACTAGAATGTGCCTTGTTTGTGACTAAACAAAATAGAAAATAGTGCCTAATTGCCAGCAACTGGGATAGGTGCAATTGTATAGAAGTACTAATTTATCCCACTGCCTCTTTTTCCCATTCCTTTTTATGTTTCCTTCCTACTTCCTTAAGGTTTTTACTGCCCAGCTCAGCCAGAAACCACATGAGGAGTGGCTCCTTGGGGGCATTTGAGGTTCCAGAACACCTCCATTCCTGAGGGGAATCCCTTGAGCAGTGATTTGGGGCTACGCCAGTTGCCTGGTCCTCCTTCCTTTGGACCAAAGGTACATATGCCCAACCTTGTAATAAACAAAAATGGGCAGCCACAGGGCTGGGACTACCCATTGGAGGCTGAGATAGGAACATCTAGACAGTAGTTGAGGCTTAAGATCTACAAACTGGAGATTATAGAATCTGGGTTTTAAGCAAGTCAGACAAACCAGAGAATGCTGGAAAATTTATGACTGACAAATAGGGACTGAGGCAGAAGTCAGGGGGTGTCACTAGCTTTTAAGAATTTAGCCAGAGGTCAAAATTTTATTGTTTTGTGTGAAGGAGAGTACATAAAGGCAGAAAAAATGTCACATCTGGAATTCTGAGCAGCTGTCCAGTTTGAATCGAGGGTTTTAGTATAGACAGTCAACACAGAAATGAATCTCTTCTTAAAACAAAAATGTTTCCAACATAGATGCTCTTCTGTAAACACTGCTGTGGAGGGAGTCGTCTTATACTGTAGATGAAGCAGGTCTGCAGGTTCACCTGGGGGAAAACATGCAACAACTAAATAGATTATTACTGCTACAAGTGAATTGCTATGCTCACTGAGAAAGATCTATGAATCCAGTGGATTTTGTCAGCTGGAGATAAGAAAATAAAGGACAATCTACATATAAATATGTTTGATATAAATATAAAAATATTCAGTCATACCATCATAAAATACCAGGAGAGACCCTTGAAATTCATTGGACTGTTCAAAAGGAGCATGTTAAAGTTCAATATGTAAAATAAAATGGAGTAGCTGTGGTACAAGAGGATGGGGTGAAGGATCCCACGGTTCTGCCTGCTCACCCCCAAGGTCCTCAGTGACTTCTGAACAAGATGCCTATAACACAATTTGAAAAACACCAATCTGGCTCACCCTTTTATAAGCCATTTTGCACTCGTGAGTACTTTTATTAAATATACTGACATTCATAGAGTCATATTTTAATCGAAACCATTTCCTACTCATATTGGTACATGATAGAATTTTGAAGAATTTTCAACAAAAGGTAGAAATAGAAATCCTTATCCTCTTTGTTAAAAACACCTTTGTGTAATTTTGGGCACATTACTATGCTGGAGTAAAGGGACTTGAGACTTTAGGAAATGAGTAGTAATTGCTGGAGGATGGTAGATTAAGATTCAGATGTCCCAGCTATGGCTTCTGCTTCCCCATTCTTTCCTAGGTTAGCCAAATTTCCCTACCTTTCCAAATTTTTAAATGAAACTATCAATAAATGGGGAAGAAAAAAACATAAATAAAAAGGAAGAACTCACAAGTAAAGAATTGCATGAGTCACATGTAATAAATAGCATTAAGAAATTAGTCTTCGTGAATATTCTCATAGTAAAAGTTAAAGGTTTCTAACTCAAAAATTTTCTCAAACTGATAAATCTTCAAAGGAGTTCGTTTACTTTTGAATATTCTGTGTTGAAGTTATATTTTTTAAAATCCCAAGCCCAGTAATATAGAAAATTGCTTTTGATTACTGGTTATGATTAACATTTGTGTGGTTTTAAAAAAAATGACATTTTATGTGGCAAGCATACACGCACAGAGGTATAAATGAATATATTGTTAAATGCACAGTATCTTGAAATTATGTTTGAATTAACCTTACTGTAAGTATATATAACCAATATAAAGTTATACTGTATAATTGCAAGAGTATATAATTCTATAAGAGTACATGATTTTAATTTATTGAAAAAATTGTTCTATTTGAAATGTATTTTTTCCTTTATGAAAAATTTCAGTCACAGGTGGGTAATAAAATGGTGTGTCAAGATGGATCCTTATAGTAAACCCTTTTACTTATTTCAATTTATACATTTTCTTGAAAAAGGGCTAAATGTCAGAATGTGTCACAGAACATTGATGACAAATGCAAATTTTCTCATGAATTAACTGTTAAATGATGATATGTGATACTTTTGAGCAAATATAATACTAGCATAGGAAACAAAACTTTATTCGAAAGAATTTAATCAGAAAATTGGGCTGTCTTTTAAACTCTCTATGTTACTGTTTAACAAAAAAATCTTAAATATTTTTGGGCAACTATTGTCCTAAAGGAAGAGATGCTTTTTAAAGAGAAATACATGGTTAGATTGGAAATGTTCTGTACTTTACAGTACTGTAGCCACTAGCTATATATGGCTGTTGAGCTCTTGAAATGTGACTAGAGAACTGAGAAACCAGATTTTAAATTCTAATTTAATTTTAAGTATAAATTGCTACATGTGGCTAGTACCACCAAGTATGGTACAACAAGATCATACAACACAAATCTAGATAGTATGAGTACTTGTATATTACTTAGAATATATTAAGTAAAACATTAGACTTGTCATCTAATTTATTAGCTGCTGGTGTGTGTGTGTGTGTACATATATATATGCATGTATGTGTATATATATTTTTTATATAAGAATTAACTAGTAACAGTATAATACTGGTAGCTAATAAGAATATACAAATAGAAATTCCAAGCTGAAATAAATATTTGTAGTGACTATTCTGCTCTACCTGATTAGAACATTACAGAATTAGAAACAGTTAATACATCTGGAGAACTAGAAAATTGAAAATACTTAAATCACAAGACCTTTCTTTTGGTGAGGAGACAAAAGGGAGAGAGAGAGTGAGGAGAAAAAGACTACATTAGATAGCCCAGTGAAAAAGGCGAAAGCAGGAGAAAATACAAATTGTTTTATAGTAAATTATCCAAGGGTAATATAGGGAAAAAATGGGTTTGTAAAAAGAAAGGGAGGAGTTTTGTTTTTGTTTGAGATCATGAATCACATCACTTAATAAAGTTTTTTATTCTGCATGTGCTTATTATATGGATCATTTTATTTTATGTGGCAAAATATATTATTGAACATTTACATTGTAATGCCAAAAAGCTAATACTGCAATGGTAGCATTTACTAATAGACTCAAATGCATGACTCTGACTTAATTTTTTTCATCTTTTGTAGGCAGAAACTGAATTACAGAGAGCTACAATGGATGCTACCCGAACAACTCGTCATCTGGAGGAAACCATTGACAATTTTGAAAAGCAGAAAATAAAGGATATAAAGGTAATAAAATAACAGTTAAGGTTCATAACATGTTTTCTAACCTTTTTGTTTTATTTAAATTTATGGAAAATTTAAATTACTGCTATTTTTAGCCCATAGTCTGTGTGAAAAAATATAAATAAAAATGTATCAAATTTTATTTCCTTATGGAAACAATGATATATCAAGGGGCTACATTCCCAAACAGAGGCCAAATATACAGCTTTTTATCACAAGTACTATTTAATCAAAGGGAACTAACATTTATTATTTTTTTTGTATCAGGTGCTGTTCCAGGCACTTTACATAATCTTTACAGCAACTCCATGAGAATGAGGTGGTATTATCCATATTCTATATAATACACTGTTATTTTTATAGCATTAAGTTTTCTAATAACTACATATTATCAAATAAATTGGGTAAGAGTAGCCAACCATGTAAACGTGCATTCACCATGATATGGTGTCACAAGAATTGCTTTATTGTAACACATCAGGAGATATGAAACTTTCAGGATCATGGCCTTTAGGTCTTCAATGACTTTTTCATAAGCATCTCGAAGATTTCGAGGATCGTTTTTAACTATAGTATGTCCTTTAAAACAAGTCATCTAAAGATGCTTTTTGGCTCACTGAAAATTTTCCTGGAACAAGCTTTAAAGAAAAATATTTTTGTCATTTTACAACTGTAAACAAAAAAAAACATTGTGTTTTCAAAAGTTATGTTCTTATCAATAAGTATTATCTGCCACTTAATTCATGAAACACTGATTTGTACTTTTTTTAATTCCCTATCACAATTTCAAAGGATTTCAGAAGTTTCTCCAGTTTGGTCCTGAAGACGAAAAAAAGTTTTAAACTTCTCAATTCAGTCTGCACTCTGCTGTCTAATAGTAGATTGCTATGTACTACGAGCATCTCAGAAAGCTGCCCTGAGACAAACCTCTTTACTGACGTGGGAGAGTATAAACTGGATTAATGTTTTAAAATCGCTGACAGCCTCTTAAATTGAGGGAGAAAGAAAAGTTATTAAAATAATTAACTTTAACCTGAAAAATGAGAATGGAGACTTGTGAGGTATGCCTGATTCTACTACCACCTAAAGGCTTCTCTTTAGTTCATTTCATTATTCAGCCTCCATGCTTGCTACCTCTACAGGTGTTTTTAATTCTCTGAGCACCATCAATTACAAAACTGGGGCAGAGTGAATGAGTGCAGAATTCCCAGCTACAATTACTACTACCTGGGATTTCCTGAAACAGTAGGACATGGAGTGAGGGACTGCACAGTGGAGGGTGCACAAAGAGAAAGCCTTAGCCTTCCAAGTTTTTCTCTTTGCCTGCTGTATCATGCCCCTGGAAGAGGAAAGTCACACACACAAAAAAAAGACAGGAAGAAACCCACTTTTTAAAAAATTGATGCAGTTCACCCACTTAAAATGTACAGTTCAGTGGTTTTTAATGTTCAGATATGTGCAACTGTCACCACTTAATTTTAGAACACTTTTATCACCTCAAAGCGAGATATAATAGATTTTAGCTTTTACCTCCCTGCTACCCCCATACTCCCACCTCAGCCCTAAGCAACTACCTCTGATCTCAGTCTCTGAATTTGGCTGTTCTGGACATTTCATATGAGTGGAATCCTAAAATACGTTGTTTTTGTGACTGGTGTCCTTCACTTTGCATAATGTTATCAAAGTTCACCCATATTGTAACATGTATCAGTTAATTCTTTTTTATAGCTTCATAATATTCCATTGTGTGGCCAATTGCCACATTTCATTTATCCATTCATCAGCTGACGGACTTTTTGGTGGTTTCTACCTTTTGGCCGTTGTGATTAATGATATAAGCATTCACATGCAAGTATTTATATGGACACATATTTTCATTTCTCTTGGGTATATACCTAGTTAATTGCTGGATCATATGGTAACTCTTTAATCATTTGAGAAAGTGCCACACTGTTTTTCCAAAATGGCTGCACCAATAGTATATGAGGGTTCCAGTTTATCTATATCCTCACCAGTATTTGCTATTAATCAGACTTTTTCATTATAGTCATCCTAGTGAGCGTGAAGTAGTATCTCATTGTGGGTTTGGTTTACATTTACCTCCTATGCTTCTTGGCCGTTTGTATATCTTCCTTGAAGAAATAAATGGCTATTCAAATTCTTTGCCTGCATTTTAGTTGGGTTTTCTTTTTATTATTGAATTGTAAGTGTTCTTAATATATTCGGATACAAGTCCTTTATCAGATGTATGATTTGCATTATTTTCTCCCATTCTGTGGCTTCTTTTTACTCCAATGGTGTTCCTTGAAGCATAAGTTTTAATTTTGATGAAGTCCAGTGTATCTATTTTTTCATTGTTGTTGTTCATCCTTTTGGTTCATTGCCAAATTTGAGATTATAAAGATTTATCTCTGTTTTTTCTTAACAGTTTTATACTTTTTGTTTCATATAGGTCTTTTACCCATTTAATATTTTTATATGGTATGAGCTGAAAGTTAAACTTCAGTTTTTGCATGTGACTATCCAATTGTCCCACCACTATTTGTTGAATGGAGACTGTTCTTTTCCATTGACTAGTTTTGGCACCCTTGTTGATTTTTAAATATTTAAAATATTTTTAAAAAGTTGACATGGTTTTGTCTCTGGATTCGCATCTTCTTTCATTTATCTATGTCTGTCCTTATGCCATTACCACACTATCTTGATTAATTAGTAATGCTTTGTAGTGAATTTTAAAATCAGGGTGTGTTTTTCCTCTTTGTTCTTTTTTAAGATTGTTTTGGCTACTCTGAATCTATCGCAATTTAGTATGAATTTTGCCATTAGCCTGTCCATTTCTATAAAGTCAGCTGGGCTCTGATAGGGATTGCATTAAATCTGTAGATTAGTTTGGGGAGTACTGCCATTTTAAGATTAATTCTTCCAATCCTTGAAAATGGGATGTTTTCTATCTATTTAATTTATTTTAACAGTGTTTATATTTTTCAGAATATAAAAGTTTTGTGCTTTTCTTAAACTTTTTCCTAAGTATTTTATAATTCTTGATGCTATTATAAATGAATTTGTTTCCTTAATTTCATTTTCAGATTTTTCGTTGTAAATGCACAGAAATACAATTGACTTTTGTACACTGATCTTATACCCTGCAACCCTGCAGAACACATCTATTAGCTCTGATAGTTTTTTAGTAGATTCTTTAGGATTTTCTACATACCAGATCATGTCATCTGCAACGTACACTTTTAATGCTGACCCCACACAACTCTTAGCAAACTTCCAGAAATGAGTTCCAGAAATCAGTATCAGAGTCTATTAGGGTTCTGAAACTGTTCTGTAGGTCCTTCACTGTTTATAACTGTATTACCGTGTTTGATGTGGGGTTTAATCAACAAGTCCATCTAAATTTTGGTAGCAGCAATAATCAGAGAGGTAGCATAGTTTTTAGACCAAGACTTTTCATAGGAACCTTACAAAGAATTTGTCTTTCTGAGAAAAGTTGGTATGGAACTTAGTATACAAAATGTGGAAGAAAAATCACAGTCCCATTTGTTTCCCATGTAATAAGAAAAGTCATCAACTATATGGTGAGTATCTAGAGAATCTCAGACCTACAAAAAGGATCTTGACCAGGGGTCACTCTTGAATAGATAAGAGTAGAAATTCAGTATGTGGTAAAGTAGCTAACAGGAGCAAGAAACATCTTCTAAATTTAATTTTTAATAGCTTTATTTTTCTTATAAATATAAAATCACCATACATTTTTTAAAATTGAGAAAAACATAATAATCCCACTAATCAGAAATAGTGTTTTGACTTATACCCTTTCAGACTTTTTATGTATACACATATACATAAGAGATATGGATAGTAATAATAACAACACACATTTCTTAGGCATTGTTATGTCACACATTTTAAGCATTTTATGAAGATAAACCTCATTTATCCCTCAAAACATCCTTAAGGAAGGTAATATTATTATTCCTATGCAGTTATATTTAAATAGGACCAGACCACATGTAGCATCTCTTTTTAAAATTTAATATATCATGGACATATTTGTGCTAAGAAACATAGGTCATATCATCCTTTTTGGTATCCTCATAGTATTTTGCTATATGGACATACTAGTTTATTTAACCAGTCCTCACTGGGGGACATCTAGATTATTTTTGCAGTTATAGATCTCACTGCATCATTAAACATCAGGTTTTTGCTGGTCCATTTATTTTGGGGGGATAAATTACCAAAAGTAGTACTTCTGATTCAAAGAACACACTTTCAATTTTAATACCTATTTTGAAGCTTCTGTCCACAAAGTTTACATGCCTACAAAACCTTGCATGAGCACCCTAATATAACAATGATGAGTAGTAGTTTCAATAGCCAATCTGATAGATTAAAAATATCAGTGTCTAAATTTGCATTGGTACTAATGTTGAAGCAGAGTGCCTTTTCATATATTTAATGATACATTTTATTTCTTTCTTAATTACTCACACTTATCCTTAGCCTATATTTTTTAGTGTTGGCGTTTTTCTTATTAAGTTGTAGAAATTCTTTAGACAATTAACCCCTTATATTAAAGAGAAGATATGTTGCAAATGTATTTTTGCATTTTGTTGCTTATTGTGCGTTGTCAACTTTAAAGTTTTATTTTTGTTGCTAGATCTATTGGTCTTTTTGGTTTCTGCCTTGGTGTCATGTTTAGAAAGGTAGTTTTCATCCTCAAAATTATATAAATATTTGCTTATATTTTCTTCTACTATTTATATGACTTTTTAAATATTTAAATATTTTATCTGGCAGTTGTGTTTTGCATATGATATGAGGTAGATATCTAACTTTGTTACGGATAGGAAGTTCTTCTGACATCATTTATTGAATAGCCTCTACTCTGGAGAGCTGTCATTTCCCCTTTGTTTGCCAAACTTTAAACAAGACCATTTAGAACTTTTTTGTTAAATATCTCACTTGCTAATTAAAGCAGATAGAGGCTTTAATATTAGGATAATGAACTTTTTCAAATTTAGCTGGTTTACTTCTTAAGCAATAAAAATATCTAACTTGTGTTGGACACTTACTCTAAGCCAGTTACCATACAATACTTTTGCTTAGATTAACTCATTTAATTCTTAAGGCAAAACTTATGAGGTTGATACTATTGTTCTCTCATTTTATAGATGAGGAAAATGAAGGAAAGAGCAGATAAACTGTTTAATATTACATAGCTGGTATGTTTCAGTCATAATTTGAACCAAGGTTTATCTTAATCCAGAGCCCATATTCTTAACCATCCTGCTTTACAGAATACTTACAGATGGATAAAGAATTTCAGATTAGCTCCTGCCCCACCCCCACCAATAAAAAGTATGTGTCTTCTAGTAACACAAAATAAAAATGAAAAGGGAAGGAAAAAAGTAACTCAAAATGCCTCTGTCCCTGACCATACTGACCCATTCCAAATAAACAGATTATATGAGGTCATTGAAAGTTAGCTATATTTATAGAAAATTATTACTAAATATGATAGGGCCCTAGAAAGTTCTACCACCTTTCTAGTGACTCATTGAAATTATTTTATTACAGAAACATAATGTTTTCCATGTTCTCTCTTATTTATACCAGTTGTCACCTAGCATTATTGTTCTTTGAAATTATTCTCCTTTATACCTGTTTTTGGTTTTATGAAATTCTGGTTAGAAATAAAAGAGTATAATTGGCAGTTTTCCCTCCTGACAATCCTCAGAGATATAATTCTTCTCTGTGATAATCTTAAGGCTTCATGGCTCTTGGGTCAAAAATTCCAAATCTAGGATTCTAGCTTAGTAGTGCCACAGATTCCCCATCACTGTTCTTCACAGAAAAATAGACAGTATAAAAAATTAGCACAGCCATTCCAGTCTTATAGAGGTGTATAATACAAGTTTTGTTAAGAAATAAAAGGTCAGACCATAAAGGACTAAACCAAAGTATCAGAAAACTTGATATCCCCCCACCTTGCAAGTAGTAAATAATAGCCATTTCATGATTAAAGATACTGTTTAAATTGCTTTTTTATCACAAACTGAAATTAAATTTTGAGGTTGGAAAATGCTAACAAACTCAAAGTTGGTCACTGTCTTTTAAAATGAGAATGTAAATACACAATGTTTATTTCTTTAGTGACAGACAGACACATCTACATATTTTTCAGGGCTTATCAGCTTGGGGGAATATAACACCAAGAAGATGCTAGTATTAAAAAATTGTTAGAGATGACATCACATTCATCAGAGATTTTGACCATCAGGAATTTAATAACTATTCAAATATTTGAAAATTTTTGTTTTGAAATTTTTGCATATTCCACAAAGTTATCAAAGTGGAATAGATTTGAATTAAGTGTAAACAAACAAATTTAGGTGTAATAAAGTTGTAACTGTTTGGATCTCACTAGTTATTAAATAGTGTGATGGTCTGTTAAAGATTTAGAATTTCCATTTGTAGAAATATTTAAAAATAGGAGATAATACTCAACTTATTTCATTTAAACTTAATCCCTTATATGAGGCTTTTTTTATTTCTCAGGTGATTTTATAAAGACAAAATACCTCTTTTCTCTCCCCTAAGTACAGGCATACCTCAGATGTTATGGGTTTGTTTCCAGGCCACTGCAATAAAGTGACTATTGCAATAAAGCAAGTCACATGAATTTTTGGTTTCTCAGCACATATTAATGTTTACACTATGCTGTATCCCAATAAGTGCAATAACATTATGTCTAAAACATACCTTAATTAAAAAATACTTTATTGCTAAAAAATGCTAACCATCATCTGAGCCTTCAGTGAGTCGTAATCTTTTTGCTGGTAGAGGGTCTTACCTTCAATTTATATAAAGAAAAAATGCACTGTCTGTGAGACACAATAAAGCAAAGTGCAATAACACGAGGTATGCCTGTAAAGAAATCCACATAAGTAAACAGATGGTCTCTAAATCCTCTATCTAAGAAAGAAAAATTAAAAAAAGAGTTGATTGTTTGACATTCTAAATGTATGTTCACCAGTTCCCTGGGTACTCACCTTAAACAAGTCTAAGGTCTTATTCTACAATTCTTTCTTATTTGTTTGTTTGTTTATTTATTTCGGTGAGGCAACCCTTGGTTGACCTCACAGATTGCAAGGACCTTGCCAGTTTACAATCCCTTATTTTTTACACCTACAGTACCTGGTCTTCCTAGGTGGTCTCCCATCCAAGTACTAACCAGGCCCCACCCTTAGCTTCTGAGATCAGACAGGATCTGGCTTGTTCAGGGTAGCATGGCCTTAGACTCTACAATTCTAATTTAATCCTAAGTAATTGAAAAACAAAAATTTCTGTTACAGCCTTGAATAAAAATAAAATCAAACTATGTCTATATTATATTTATATAGTTTGTTTATTAAAGGTAGAGAATCTTAAATTTAAGATTCACAGGAAAGATGTAAGCCTGTGCTTGATTGCTCCTATTACCTAAAATAAGCAGCAGACCAAGAAGCAAGTAGGGGTCCTTAGTGTGTGAGCTTGTCAGAAAACAGAAACTCCCAGTTCTGTTTTCTTCTAGGAGTTTCCATGCTCCTAAAGGCCACCTGACCCCTTTCTAGCTAGCCAACTATCTTAGAAGACTGACAACTAAGAGACAGTCTCAACCCTAGTCAAAAGCCATTTCACCTCTAAGGTATTCCTGGGTATCTGGAGAGTCTTGGTGTGAAATCCAAAATTGTATCTTGGCATAATGGTATTTATTGTCAAGTTACTAGACCAGGATACCAGAGCCCTCTGTGACCTATATGAAGTGACAGAAAGGGTAATTATTAGTCATATAGTTATATCTCTTAACCTAGAACCCAGTCTTTGCAGTCAAACTGACATATGTGCTTTTACCCCAGGAGGGTTACTTTCAACTACAGATGTTTCCATTGAGTAGTGATCAGAAGTCTGTTAGGACTCCCTTAAATATTTTTCTAACCTTTAAGATAGAATGGAGATGGAGAAAAAAATTACAGGACACTGAGAGATATCTGTATGTCTCTCTTCCAAAATGAAGGATCACTCCTGTCTGGCTGGTTAACACAGAAGAGCAAGAATGAACAGAAATATGTATTTGACTCTTGCCTTCTAGCCTAACCTATCTCTTCTATCTTGCTTAAATACAATGCTTGATTGTTTTCTACCTTGTTCATATTTGCCCACTTCTACATTAATGCTCTTATTTTTCATTTGATAAGAGACAAAATAACAAAAGGGTAAGATCCTATTTAATTAAAAACTTGTCTGGTTTTTATCCTTTCAACTGATTATCTTCTGCTAGATCAACATGCACATCTTCATTCATTCTCTTTGTTCATGATCTTCCTTGTCGTAAGTTGTCTTCATGCTTAGAGATTACCTGCACAGTTTATTTGTGAAGAAAACTGTTTCCAGCAAGAACAGCACAGTATGAGCAAGAGCTATAACTTATGAAGAATCAGATCCAAGCTTGAACATTCTAGCTGAGCAACGATAGTCAAATCATATATTTATAAGCTAAAAATCTCTATGCGAATGTATGCTGCTGTTATCAGTGATAGGAATATAATTATCATCAAGTAATTCCTTTGTGGTTTGAGAATATAAGTAACATATAGCCAGAAATATGATGGGATATAATTCCTGTCTAAAAAACATTCTATTGTTTAAAATCAGTTGGAATTGCTAAAATACCAGCTTCAGAACTAAACTGTTTTATCTAATACTTATAGGCACAGGGTAAACAGAGTACATAATGGCACATATTTTATTCAGATCTTTTTTTTTTATCACAGATGTCAATTGTAAGGTATAAATAAAACTGACTAAAAAAAGTAAATGGTGAGATAGGAAATATTTTGTATAATTTGAAGGTTTAGCTGCAGAAGGTCTTTGCAATTATTTTTATTATCTTCTAAACTTCATTTGCCTTGCAGAAAAACAGATACCTTTGCATTTCATAAAATGGCAAGATTAAAATAAAGAATATCTTTATAACATTCGCCAATTTTTATGATTGTTTAAATTCCAATATTTGTTTTTTAGACTATATTTTCAGAATTTATCACTATTGAAATGTTATTTCACGGCAAAGCTTTAGAGGTCTACACTGCTGCCTACCAAAATATACAAAAGATTGATGAAGAAGAAGATTTAGAGGTAGGACTGTCTATCCAAACTCAGTTCTTCTATTAATATGTAGATACTTAAAACATAGCATTTGTTTGGTTAAAAATATCTTAAATTAGAACATTACAATGGTTATTTGTTATTGTGTGCAGTCCCAAATAGCTGAACTTCATGATTTTCTATTTATTTTTTAACTGTTCAAATTAACCACAGTAAAGTTCTAAGAGTTAATTTATTAATAGCCAGTAAAATACAATCTGAATAAAGCCAAATGTATCATTTTGACATGATGTCACTTAAGTGTGCTAAAAATAACATTCATCAATTTGAGCTAACATTTGAGTGTTTATGCCATGCACCATACCCAAAGCTTTATGTGCAATTTCTCACTCCTCGCACAATCCTGTGAGGTAGGTGCTGTTATTCTTTTAATTTTGACAACTACAGAAACAGGTTTAAAGTCTTTAAATAACTTGCCCATGGTCACTTAGCTAGTAAATAGCAGAATTAGAATATAACCAGTTTTGTGTGACTTAATCAATAAACTATGAAATAAATGAAGTTTTATATAAAAGGCTTGCTCTGTACTGGTAGTTAAATGCAAATAAATCTGATTGGCCAACTAACATTAGAGCAATTAAATATCAAAGCCTGGCTCCAGTAAACATATCTGAAGGGTACATATCCTACCCCCTTACTTCAAAAGCGGGTGGGAAGGGGGGGCAACAAAAGTATATTTTTGCTGAAATAGATAAAAATTCAAGAGATAATTCATAAAGTGAAAAAAGCCATGTGTTCTCAAGATATAACCATGATTCTCTATTAACAAGTGAGAGAATTTGGGAGCGCCTTCCATTTGGCAATTTCAAAGATCTCCCCCAATTTTTTTGTTTGTTTGTTTGTTTTTCACTAACTATCCACAAAGAGATCCCTTAGGTCTTCTCTTCCCACTACTCAACTGGTTCTGGGAAACTTAATATAGTAAAACCAGCTTGAGTAAAATGAAGGTACATGTTTTATTATGTTTTCCAGTGCCAAAATCTGTCTCACAGTTTTATATCAGTTATGCCTACATGATCATATTTCTATTTACTGTTTCTCAATAGATAGCTTCCTAAGTGTCCATCCCTTCCAAATAAAACTGTTTTTCACTCCTTTTCATGTCCTATTGTTTAAAAAATAGATTTAGCTATTATCTGTCATTTGTAAAATAAAATAGCAAATGTTTATATAGCATTTATTTTGGACCAGCTACTGATCTATGCACTTTGATTATATTATTTTAATCCTCCCATCAACTTTGGTAAAAAAAAATACTTATTTTGTTTCTTTGGGTGAGAAAACAGGCACAGAGAAGTTAAGAAACTTCCCAGAGGTTCTCATAGCTAGTAAGTAACATAGCTGGGAGCCAAACCCAGAAGACTTACTAAAGACACTGTTTTTATCCTCTCTACACTCTACTGCCAGAAGTGTGGTTCTTGATGAGTGTCCTAAACCACTTCCTGCAGAAACAATAAGTGCATTGATTACCATGTTAAAAACTGATCTCCCACTTTTCCTATATGACTAGAGTCTCCTTTACAAGTATTTTCATTCTCTTTTTTCTAATACCCTTGACATGCCATTTAACTGACACTAAAGCTCCTGCAAACACTTTGAACCCCAAAATTTTGTTTCTTATTCCAGAAGTCCTAGATATCTTTTTTGTCACACCACTTCCAACTTTTCTTACCACTATTTTTAATCAGCTGGATAGGTAGCTTGTGGGAGGAGAATCATAAAAAAAACTAAAGATCTCAGCGCTATATGGTAGACGTGTTTTTGAGTATCAACTTCCCCACTTTCTAGCTGGAAAATATTGAGCAAGTTAACTTCCTCATACTTTAGCATCCTCATCTCTAACATGGAGATACTTATAGTACTTACCTTATAAAATGTTCATTCAACAATTGTTTATTGAGTACCTGTCATGTGCCAGGCACCATTCTAAGTGCTGAGGATTTAGCATTATAAGTTGGATATGGTCCAACTTGTCAAAGCAGAAACTGAAGTCTACCGGGAATTCAGACATTAAAAAAAATGTATAACTGTTAAAGTTTTATAATGTGACCAGTCCCACAGAGAAAAAAATACAGTGTACTGTGAGTGTAATGTGAATGGAAGATTCTAAATAGTCTAAAGAATCAAAGAATGATTTCTTAATTAGAAGCTTGAAGGATTCCTGGCAACAGCTTTCAGTTAAGAGCATATAGATATATAGAGGTCTGAGGCATAATGAATTATAGGCATAAACTATTACTGTTTTGCCATACAGAAATTGTGGAGAAGAGAGAATAATCTGGGGAGATTTGTAGGACCAGGGGAAGTAAAATTATATCAAACAGGTACCAAGAAGAGAAAGAATCCTTTAAATATAAGGTTTCTTGGAAACAAGTAAAGAAAGTATGCAGAGAGGGACAAAGAAATAACTTGCTATTCTTCTTAAGTAGTCCATGCTTTATGAGAACTGCCGAGACATTGTGGCAGCACCTAATTCTCTGCAGGTAGGCATCTAGCTATATCACAAACCATCTTATTTGTTCTTCACAAAAAAAAAAAAAATTACAGCATACTGTCCAGTATAGTCAGGCCCATTTTCTCTGTGCAGTAGTAACTTTGGAGCATATTCAAGTCTTGAGACTTGCTCCTAGAAGAGATCTTGGACCATATTGGAAAATGCATTATTGCCAATACATTAATATTCCTGTAAATCTGGTTTTTTTGGTAAGACTAATTTTAACTGGTTTAAACTTTTATCTCAAGGGCTGTATGTTGTCTTCTACTTCCTACTTTTTTTGCTAGAAAAGTTAAAAAAAGAATGCTGTTTTAACAAAAACATATCCTTTCCAAATACCAGTTGATTAATAAGTCATGCAGGTTTTTATCATACTAGCATGCCAGTGTTTCTCGTCTGGCACCAAAATATAGTTGGGTCCTTAGTAACTTGCTAAATAACCTAACCAGCATGCCCAAATTGCCCTAAAACATAAGTCTTGCCTCTTGTTAAATTTCATCCCTTTATTACTTTGTGTCCCATAGTTTTCTGAGATTTAAAGAAATGTGTAGAGGCATCCTTAAGTCTAGGTCTCCTTTTTTCCCCAAAAACATACGGATTAAGTTCATGTTCACATCATTCATTTACCATTGATTTATCTTAAGCTGAGAAAAGTTGCAAAGATAAAACTGGGCACCTTGCTCTAGAGTATAACATGTTCATATAGGTCTATAGGCTAGAAGTGAAGAGTGATGGGTAGGTTTGGTTATCTTAAGCCTCTTAGGTGTCACCCAAGGCATCTGGGTAATTAGGAACCACAAAGTTTTTTGGTATAGGAATTATATTTTGGTCTTTAGTAAGATAATTCCAAGTAAGCTATAAAGAAAAATGTTCAGCGTCAAAAATTAAAATAGAAGTACCTAAGGTGAGAAATTTAGGGAGAATGCTCAGGCTTCTAGCTCAGTCTACTAAATATATGGTAATGTCTTTCATTACAAAGGTGAAATCTAGAGCTAAACTGTCCAGTATAGTAACCATTAGGCATATGTAGGTATTTAAGGTTAAACTGAAACAAAGTTTAGTTCCTCAGTCACAGAAACCACATTTCAAGGGCTCAGAAGCCTCATGTGGCCTTTTTGGACAGAACAGCAAGGATTTTTGTCATCTTAGAAAAGTTCTGTTAGACAGTGCTGATCTAGAACAGAAGGTAGTTGGGAGCATAAACGCGGCTATTAGAAGAGAGTCTATAGAGAATTGATTGAAAGGTAGCCATTAAACTGTGTAGATAAGATCTTTCAGAGAAAGGTGTCAAAAAAGGAAAAGTGGCCTAAGGGAAACCTTTTAAAAATATTTACACTGTAAGCAGTAAAAACGGAGATGCGAAGAAATAGGGCAGCTAGCACATGAAAAGAGTTTAGCGATGGCATGCATGGAACTGTTTCAGGACAAGATGAAGACAAAAAGACTGGTGATTTTTGGCAAGAGTAATTTCAGTGGAAGGTGAAAGCCTAACTGTAGTTTATTGACAAATTAATGGAGATGAAGTAGGATATTTGAGAAGTTTTCTAAGTAAATTTATACCTTGAAATAAAAAATAAGTATCCTGAGTTTATTTGCTGGGGGAGGGAACCTGTAGAGAAAGCAAGCTTTTGTCGGTTTGAAGTTTTGGAAAAAGGAAAAATGCACCTTGGAAAGAATCAAAATGATATTAACTTTAAAAAAATAAAAAGAAAAGATGGCATTTATAGTTGAGGGAAAAAAGAGAGAGCAGCTGAGGAAATTCACGTCTGATAACCTTACCTATTAGTCTCTATGTAAGAGAATGGACTGAGAAACCAGGGAGGTTTAAAGTGGTAAGGTCTGGAACTACTGCTTGCTTTAAGGAAAAAGAACTGAAAAGTAATGACATTCCAGATCCTAGTGAGATTGGAATCTATATAGTGGCTCCTATTTACTCTTATGTGATGTACTATAAAAAGTACTGCAGTGAAGCTGTGGATAGGCAGAACAGAATCAAAGATGTGACCTGCAGCCTCCCTGCTAACCTGCATATTCAAGGGTAGGAACTTTCACATTTCCCCAAGACAAACTCGCAAGTGGTTGTTTCAGGACCCATCAGTGTTTTACATGGTTCAAATTATTTTAGCTTTCCTCTTTACAACTTAAAATATTTTTGTATTTTTTTTGTTTTAAATTTACAATAAAAAATTGAAATTTTGTCTGGGGATAGGAAGTGCTTTAAAAACTCTTAACTAAGGAATTTAATATGGCTTTCTAGATTTCCATTGTTTAGTATCTATAATGTTGTTTTGTCATTGCAACAGGTTTTCCGAAATTCTCTGTATCCACCAGATTATTCATCTCGTTTAGATATTGTAAGAGCAAATTCAAAGTCGCCTCTCCAGAGATCACTGTCAGCTAAGTGTGTATCTGGAACAGGACAGGTGAGCTAGAAACCATAATTTAAAGGATTTTGAGCTGGTGCCTTTGGAATTGTTTAGTACTAAAAATGTTTCCCTTGAGTCACATGACTTCATATAACTTACCCTCTCTTATGATCTTAGGTAAAATATTAGACTGCACTAGGTGTGGCTGTTAATATATTTCTTATTCTATAATATTACTCTCTATAGCAGAACACTTAAGAACAAAGGTGGAAAGGACAGGCAAATGCTATTCTAGATTTGTTCTCTGGTATAATATAAAGAGCATAGATTCTGAAGTCAAACTGCTTAAAGTCCCACTGCCACAACTTGTTGGAAATTATACCTAAAAAGGGCTTTTCCTGAACATTATCATAGATCCAAAAGCACAGATCTTTAGGTAAAAAGCCAATTTTCTCATTTCTTCTATACCTAGAAAGCCTCAGTTACCTGGTACTTAGAACAGAGAAGGATCAACAACCTTTTTCTCTAAGGAACCACAGAGAAAAGTATCAGATTTTACAGGCTATATGGTCTGTCCCAAAAAAGCAGCCATAAATAAATTAAAAAACCATTACGGCTGTGTTATAATAAAACTTAAAAAAAAAAAAGCAAACTGAGCCATAACTTGCCTAACTCTTCACCTAAAAAGCTTATGCCCTTTTACATAACTTGCCTTCAGAAATTTAAAATAGAGCAAAATATTTTCAAAATATAATGTTAAATTTGGCCCAGCACCTACTATTTTCTTTTGACTCTCCTCTAAGCATGTATTTACTGCTTTATGCATCTCTACAAAGTTTTGTTTGACTATTTAGAGCTAATGATGTTACCTAAGTATAGAATACATTATCCCAGGGTTTCTCCACCTCACACTATTGACTTTGGGCCAGATGATTTGGTGGGAGAGAAGAGAATACTGTCTTGTGCATTGTAAAGATGTTGAGCAGCTTCACTACTGACAAGATGCCAGTGACACAAACACACAAACACACACACACCCCCAACTCCCATCGTGACAATTAGAAATGTCTCCAGACATTGCCACATGTTCCCTGGGAGGTATAATCACCCTCAGAAAGGTTTGAAACAAGGTGACCCACTGGTAAGTCAGTGGTGAATTCAGATTCTGAACTCATTCCATTTAAATCACACTATTTTCAAAGCCTAGTTGAAATAGTCTTGTTTTTGCCATCCCTTTGATCACTCATTCAAACATGATTTTGTGACCCAAGAATTGTTTAATCTAAAATATTTTGGCATTTATAATATATTGAGACTATACTTTTCTCTGAAAGTATGTTATAGAAGTGCTGGTATCCAACTGGAATCAAATGGTTAATTTCACTTTTTTACTCAAAAATAACATGATAAATGAGTGGAAAACCTATTGACTCTTTTCTACCTTAAAATACAATAATTCATAGGGAATTTTCACTACTAAAAATTAATACTTATGGACATTTTTCTGGAATAGTTGTTCTATGTGCCCTTCACTGTAAGGGCATACTAAAAAGATACCAAACATGTAAAAATATTTTTAAGTTAGGATATTTTAAAATGTGTTTAACAGGTATCCACTTGTCGATTAAGAAAGGATCAACAACCAGAAGATGATGATGAAGAGGATGAAGACTTAGATGTAACAGAAGAAGAAAATTAATTTTCTTAAGTAAACTTCACATTTCCATTTTTAATTTAAATTATTTGAAATCCAGAATTACTAAATTGTGAAACTTTATACTGGTCGATATATTAAACTTCAAAATGAAATCCTATTGGAAATGGGAAATAATTAAAGGAAATTTATGTTGACAAAAATGAAGGCTTTAAGAAATATTACACACCAGTCATTTAAACATCCTGTCTAGCAGTATGTGATGTTTGTATAGGTTCCATTTTTTTTTAAAAAATTATGTATTTCAAAAGTATTTCATATTAATTAGTGTACCATACCTGGTTGAGGTTGCAAAAGTAGATGACAAAAAAAATTTAATAATTTCACTTGCTTATTTTAGGTTAAGATGCCATGCTTTCGTTACCAGAAAAGGGTCCTAGAATAGTCATTCTGATTAAATATAAATTCTATTCCATAAGCCTTAATCAAAAAGACAAGTCTTTTTTTCCTTTTTTCACTTTTACAACCTGAAGTTTCATCATTTAATACCTCAGTTTACTTTTCGACAAGAGTATAATCACTTGATTAAAAGTAATGGGAACCTAGGTCATCAGTGTTTTATAACTGTAAGTGTAAATTTTAGCTTTAAAAAGAAAGCCACATTCAGCCTGTTTCTGGTTTTAAAACAAAACTGCTATCATGCTAAAGCTATACATAGTACAGCTTTTGAAAAGCTATAATTTGGTGGAATTATAGCTAAGAAAACATCATGGAAACCATATATAAAAATCTGTAAAAGTTTTACCAAATTACCACCTAATAAATGTATAGTCACTCTTATGCCTGAAAAATGTAAAAGAATTTAATCAGAGCTTTTCAGTATGTCTCATGCTTTTGTTTCTTTGGATGGGGAACTGTACTTTATTTCATGGATTCCAGTCAGGCATGTAAAAATTAGGAAATTTATAAAATCATTTGGGAAAATAACAAAAAAGCAATCATTCATAACAGAAAAATAAAAACTTTCTAGAAAGCTTTTTGACTTTGTTATTCATGGTTCTGTTCTTAACAAAACACTGTTTCCTGACTGATGCAATTACTTCAGTACTTTTTAAGTAAAATATTCAAAACATTTTAAAATCCTAAATAAATTGATATTCTTAAGAAACAGGATATCATTGCATACTTATTTTCTCGGTAGTTAAATTTCGCATTAAATTTGGGAGAAAAAAGAGTTATAGTATTTCTTTTGCTGTTTATAACAACTCACTTCTCTTGAGCATCTGTTGCTGTTATCTGTTCAGTCAAAGCATATCTGATGTAAAGCAATCAGCAAATAATTCTGATATAAAATGTATGCTCTGCCTTCCTCAAAGAAATATTCTGAGGACAAAAGGAATACTATACATGATAATACTTTCATCAAAATTGTTTTTCAGACCAGACATAGGTTGGCAAACTTTTTAAAAGGCTAGGCAGTAAATATTTTTACAATAAGTGGGCAGAGACAAAATGAAGGGTATTACATAGGTATTTAAATAACCATTTAAAATGTAACTACCTTTAAAAATGTAAAAACAGCTTATTTAAAAAACAAACAAACAAAAAAACCTTGACTGGTTACTTAGCCTATAAGGCCTCCATTTCTTATCTCTAAAATAGGTTTAAAGTTATTTTAGTTATTGGGATTAAATGATATAGTTAACTCATATATAATTACAGATCATACATAGTAACACAGCTCAATAAATAACAGCTGACACTGAAAACAAAAACAGGTGACAGGGTCACTACCTATTGGTGATGCATAGACCAAGAACCACTACTCTTGAGTTTTCTTAGTGATAAAAGTGCACTCTTAATATGATCCTTACCTATTCTTGGTTATAAGATTAAGACATGATCTGCATTTTTCACATACCCTCTAGACAAAAATGTTTAATTAAAATGGCACTGGGTATTAAATTGAACCAGTATGTCCCTAGTGTACCTGACCCATCTGGGAGTAGGAGAAAGGGAACAAGTGACTCTAATTATTGAAGCTAGATAATGGATATAGGAGGATTTAGTACCCTTCTCTCTTTAATGTGTTTGAAATTGGTGGTGTGCTCATAAGCTGGCTCTCGGGGGTAGAAAACACCCTGATTTGTTGTATTTGCCAATTTCCATGGTGTAATACTCCACCGTGGCCAATTTCGGTTATCAACATATCACTCAAGGCAGAGTTGGGAAGAGAGATGAAAAAATGGCTCCCAACCAGTAGAAGCCAGCTTTGTATAATAAACTTTTTATTTAAAAAAGTTGTTTAAAAATATATCAAACTAATTACAGAATAAAATTAACTATTCATATCAATTCAGTAATTATACAATTAAAAGTTTGTTTTTACTATTGTTAGCCTCTTATCTACTACACCACCCCAGCCTAGTTCTACGTTAATATTTCTCTTTACGTTTCATCTTAGCTTTTATTTATATTTGAGAAGTGTTGTCTTCCATACATTCCTCAAGAATGCTGATCAAAATGAATCATCTATATAACCTTTGAGCATTTAAAAACATTTCTTCCTATTTTGTTCATTGTGCTTAGTTTGGATATTTATCATTCTATTTATAAGTTTATAAAGAGCCTTACTGATGAGTTTTTGAACCAAATTTACCAGTTTACTCACTCTACTAGCAAGCTGGATTTATTCGCTATTATTAAAAACAAGCACAGAAACTTGGCTTCTCTTAGATTTCTTTAAATCACTAAAGATTAATCCAAAATACTTATTAGTATTAATCCAAAATACTAATTGGCTTACAAAGTATTCTAGTTCTGCAATATCCTATTAACTGACAACTACTGTATATAAATTCAAATTTTATAGTTATTTGCTCAATGTGGGAAATCTCTGGATCACAGAATTGAAGAAAATTGACTTTGTTTTATACAACTATAAAAAGCCAAAGTCAAATCATGTTTGAGAAAATGAACAACTTTAAATTAGAACCCAATATATAATGTTAGTATCCAAGACAAACCTTGGATATAAAAATTTTTTAAGTTACTTTTAACAATGATTGAAAATATGAATCTTATTTTTAATGCTATTTTTAAAGCAATGGAAGACAATATAGCTCATTCTTTAAAATATTTTTAGCCTGGTCTTACTAAAATTAAAATACCATTTAACAAAGTAGGCAAAGTGTTAAGAGCATGAACTAAAGTCAGTGGTTAGTTGGGGTTGAAATTGGCTCCATGATATACTAGCTATGACTTTAGGCAAGTTATTTATCCTCTCTAAACATTATCTCATTTGTGAAATAGAGGTAAATAATACTTTATGGTTCTTAGAAAATATCGAGATCATGCATGTAAAGTGCTTATACTTCATAGCACATAGTAAGAGCCCAATATTTGTTAGACATTATGAATACAGAAAATCAAATCCAATTATTTGCAAAATGTCTACACTAAATGTTGAATATCAAATCAAATTCAGTCTCACGAAAATTTTGTACTTAGTTGCTGAGTCTTTTGATACAAAGTTTTGAAATTATAAATGAGAACCTAATAAAAAATTGCCATAAATTCTTCCTAGAAACACAAACTATATCCATCCATTTATCAGGTGTTCACAGCGTAAGCATGAAAGTCTCTCTGCACCTAAATTATTTTTGGTCTTTTAAGTATTTTGTGTTAATCTTGGTTGATGAGATAATGAAGAGAAACCATTGAACTATACATAGCACTCTTATAGAATGTTTGGTCCCTCCTGTATGTAAAAAGTATTGCTTAACGTAGCTATCGAAAAACTTCACAAAAGCTGTAATTATTCTTTTTATACAAATACAAGTTAATTAGTTGGTCTATTCAGTTGCAATTTTTTTATTTTTATAAAACTTAGCAAATTATGAACATAGAAACTAAGAATCTCCTAAGCCTTTTACATAAGTAAATTTCAAGTTCACAGTCAGTTCATTTTGAACTATTATTAATGAGAGGCTTAACACAGTAATATCTCAGACAAGGAAGAGGGCATTAATTCTGCAGGCAATTAGCAATGAAAATGCTAAACCTGAACAATCAGTTACTGACCATTTCCATATACATTTTGAGTAAAAGATGTAGACTACAGAATGCAAACAAAAGTGAATATAAAATTTATCTTTCCCAAATACAGCTCTACTTTATACAGGTCTTGAGGTTTACCCATGACATCAACAAAAATTAATGCACTCAGGGAATTAGTCCTCTCCCCCACGGTCAAAAAGAAAGCACATATAATTTTAAATTAGAAAAAGTAAATGGCAATTTGCAAGCAAAAGAAAACTAAACTCACATTCTACTATTTACATTTGTTCTATTCACAGGTCAAATTTTAAATGTTTCTTTTCATAGATAATTAAAAATAAACACTTTTATAAAAACATAAATGCATTTTACTGCACCAATACTGTGGGTAAGTAACTCTGAATTTAGAAGCCCTCTAGAGCAAAATTAACTTCACTTTGCGCGGGCCAACTGGTCTATCATTTAAATCTTTAATAGCAGCCATAGCTTCATTATAGTTTATCATGGCAACAATGGCTTCTCCTGTAGGTAATCCTTGCTCATTATACTGTATCGAAACTGAATCAGGTATGATTCTATAACCATGGAAAAAGTCTAGAATTTCATTAACATTAGCTTTAAATGGAAGATTCATTATCTTAATAGGTGTTACTCTACCTGAACTACAATTTAATTTTGGATCAGGCATAAATCTCCCCTCAGGAAAACTTCCCATATTACGCTTTCCAAAATCAAACTTGCCACCTTCTGGGCGACCAAAATTCACAAAAGGGCGATGACTTCTAAAATCAGGTGGGCTCCTAAACTCCTCACCAGGAGGTCTAAAATCTTCAGGAAGTCTAGGGTCCTCCTCCAGAGGTTCTCTGAGGTCTTCCTCCGGGAGCCGCCTAAAGTCCTCATCAGAAGGCGATCTAAAATCTTCCTCCTGAGGGCTCCTGAAGTCCTTATCAGGAGGGTGCCTAAAGTCCTCACCTGGAGGACCTCTGAAATCTTCATCCGGTGGGTGCCTGAAATCTTCCTCTAGGGGGCGCCTGAAATGGTCCTGAGGCGGCCGCCGGAAATGCTCCTGGGGCGGCCGCCGGAAATGCTCGTGGGGCGGCCTCCGGAAGTGCTCGGGAGGCAGCCGCCTTAAGTCCTCCTCAGGAGAGCACCTGAAATCCTCAGGAGAATGCCTATAGTCCTCGGGAGGTTTCCTTAAGTCTTCCTCTGAAAGTCGCCTGAAGTCCTCCTTTGGTGGTCGCCTCCATTCTGCCTGGGGAAGCCGCCTGAAGTCATCCTCATGGGGCCGTCTCCAATCTTCCTCAGGTGGCCGCCTCCAGTCCTTCTCCGGGGGCCACCGCCAGTCTTCTTCAGGGGGTCGCCTGAAGTCTTCCTTGGGAGGCCGCCTGAAATCCTCCTCAGGTGGCCGCCTCCAGTCCTCCTCTCTAGGGTGCCTGAAGTCCTCCTCCCAGGGGCATCTGAAGTCCTCTTCAGGAGGCCTCCGGAAATGTTCCTCCCAAGGGTGCCTGAAGTCCTCTGGGGAATGTCTAAAGTTTTCCGGAGGGCGCCTATCAGGCTGTCGGAAATCCCCCTGGGTATGCCTGAAGTTGTCCAGTTGCCTCAAGTCCTCTTGCTGATGTTTAAAGTTTTCAGAAAGGCCCACTGTGAACACTGGTAGATCATTTGAGTCAAATGAATGGGAATGGTCATCTCTATCACACGACTGTGAATGGTCTTGCATTCTCTTGGTGGGCAGTAAGTTTACACCAAATTCTTGCATTTGTGCCTCAGATATAAGTCTTAACAATACTTCTGTCCCCAAGAATCTTCGACGGTTTAAACGTTCTGCCTTCATGGCCTGTTCTTCTGATTTGAATTTCACCAATGCTTCACCCAAACCAACTCCTTTGTCATCATAAAGCAAGTAAATGTCATCCTCCTCAAGAGAAAAGTCTGCAAAGAACTTCTGAACTTCAACTTTTGTAACATCAAATGGAAAATTTCTTATATATATGCACAGTTTTTGGCCAGAGTAGCCTTGAGAGTATTTTTGTGAAACATGTCCAAGCCTCTCTTTCTCTATTGACGCTGGTCTTTTCTTTTCATAACATTCAATGAACTTCAGCATCTGTTTTCTAGAAACTGGATCGACAAGAACTGGACGATATTGTAAAACAGTCTTATGTAAACCCAGAGCAGTGTTGTAGTCTTTCAGAGTTTTAAACATCACAAAGGCATATCTTGTTCTTCTTTCATCCTTATATAAAAACCTAATCTGTTCATTAGTCAGATCAGTATCTTTAAAGAAGTTTTTTAAGTCTCTCTTGTTAATACTTAGGGACAGATTTTTTAAGTGAACATAAAATCCAAGAGGGGAACGAGAACGTGTTCTTCTGGGAGATTTTGAATGAGATCGTTTCCGAAAATGTCTATCATTTACTCCTCTTAGTGGAGAATGTTCTTCAGTTCTCAAAGGAATATCACCCTCCTTAATTGCACTACCACCAAACTCAATCCACTGTTGTTCTGAGCCTTGCATTACTTCTATAAATCTTGAACCCATAAAACTTCTATGACATTTAAGACCTCCCGAAGCATCAATACATGAAGCAAACTTTACTATGGCATCACCATTATTTCGGCCATCGTGATGTTTTAAGAAAATTACTCCATCCACACACAAACCAGAGAAAAAGACACGTACATCATTTTCATTTACTAAGTAAGGCAAACCACGTAGAAACAAGTAAGGATTCTCTGCCTTCAGTGGCCGTGTCTTTCTTGGCCTCAAATCACCATGTCCTGTACCGTTAGTATGAAACCCAGAATCTTGATTAATCGGAGAGCCATATCCAGAATTACTTGCTGCTTTAATACCCTCAACGAAATTAGATAAGCAGCCAACCCCAGATGCCCCAGATCCTGGTCGCTCTCTTCCTATGCGATCAGTTCTTTTCATTTCTATAGTCTTCTGCATTTCTGCCTTACTGCTAAGAAAGAGCTCTACAGATGAATCCTTGATAAACCCTCCTGAACGACTTATGGCACGTCTTGCATCTTCATCTGTTGCAAAAATAATAAAAGCCTCCCCAACATCCCCTCCAATTATATGCACTCCTCCATCAGGAATAGTCAATCCCGTGAAGAAGTGACGAATATCCACAGGCCCCGCAATAAAAGGAAGCCCCAGTAAACGGATGACTACAGCCATGCTGAGCTCAAACCACAGCAATAATGACCTGCAGACAAAAAGGTACACATAATAGCAAGTCTTATTTTTGAAGTAAGCTTAATAATTACTTGGTTCCTACCTTCTTCAGTATTTATAAATGAAAACAAAATACAAGTTCGAAAAATACTGACTGTATCTAATTCTCAAAAAAAAACAATAAACTTTCTCCCATCTAAATATACAAATAAACCAACTACAATGAAGATACATTTTCATATCACCTATCCTATACAGTATGGACAACAGAAATATCAAATCTTCTTTGTAAGTCTACCAAGTACTGCTTCACAACAAGACCAAACTATTTTCAGACTCACTAAGAAACATATCTTCTACTGAAACATGAGAGAGAACTTTGTGGATTTTACCACGATGAATTTTACATAGTTATAAAAGCCATCTCTATAATTTTTGCTCATAATAAATTGCTTACCACTAAAGCATCACTGGCCAGTCATAAAGTACATAAGCCATGTGTACCTAAGATGTACTATTCTACTTCACATTTTTTTTTTGTCAAGCCTCTATGAAAAGCCTTAAGCTCTGGATATCTTACCTTTTATTATTTCTTGGAGACCTGTTAATTCTGTAAAAGCAACTTAACTGTGGAAAGAAAATGAAATATAATTAATCCTCGGACCCTGTAATTGATCTTAAACAACGCCAGATTAGGATATTCACCTCAGAATTACCTATTAAAAGTGAAGCAATATAAGGAACCACAACTATGGGCATTACAAAATGGTCTTCTTTGTTCCTAGGGGAAATGAATCATCCTTCCAAGCAGACATCTGCAAATTATTTAAAAACAAAAAAACTTTCTATAAACTAAACTTGACTGGAAATGGTACAAAGAAAGGGGTGATAGAAATGTGATTGATATATTTTGATTACAGTGTTGGTTACATGGATGTATAAATTTTTCAAGGCTAAATGAATTCTATATTTAAGATCCGTGCATTTAAATGCATATAAATTTAACATCCACTTAAAAAGACAACTGTTCTACAAGTAAAATGACATTTAAAAACACCAAACAATTCCCAAAAACTTTCTGTAACTTCCACCTATGAAAGACCAAGCACCTAACTCATGTTCAACTCTTACAAGTCTCCTCTCTTTCAAAATATAAGACCAAATTAAATTATAAAGGCGACCATTCAAATGACAAAACAAATGAACACTAATGTTTCAAATTCAAAAACCATTTTCTAAAGCAAAATCCAAACAATGGCTACCATTTGGAAGCAATTTTAAGTTCTAAATATACAGTTCGTACTTCCAAACATGGAACCAAATCTCCTGACTCTAATATAAGGCAGGCAAATACTAATATATCCCTAATCTCAACTATCACTCCTTATCGTAAACTCAACTACTACTCAGTAAACCCTTTATTAAAAGACAATTACTATTAAAATTCATCTCAAGCCAAACAAAACTGTTCAGCTAAAAAGAGGCTCTTCTTATGCTAATAAGTTTATTCCACTTCAAACAACTGTTCTGGATTCTACTGAGGAAACCCAACGACAATGTAGAAAACTTAAAAATATAATAGAAATATATTAATTTAGAAGTTCAAGGGCTATCAGTATTAACTACTGAAAAATCTCTTTAAGGAAATTCACATTGAACACTTTCAAAGATACCTGAACTAACAATATTTAATAGTCTTACCAAATTAAGACCTGCCAAATTAATAAAAAATTATGTTTTTAATTTGTAAATGTTGCTTTAATTCAGTACTTACACTTAGGTACCACTCTTCCACAAGGTGGGGTCTGAAGACATATTCTTTGAGGTCTGCAATGTTTATTTTCCTTTGAAAAGTGGTCCATAGATTAAACTTTTTAAACTACAAGCTAAACTAACAAAGATATCAAGAAATTACTTGGCACATTCTATACTAAATTATCAATGCCAAATTAATATTAAAAATATTAATGAGGTTTACTCTTAAAATATTTGCACAGTATATGTAAGGGCAGGGGGGATATGAGAAATCTCTATCATCTGCTCAATATATGCTGTGAACCTAAAAAACTGCTCTAAAAAATAGTCTATTAAAAAAAAAAAATCTGCACAGTACCAAAAAAATCAAGTACACACCTAGTTCCTTCAACAAACTAATAGTCACACCAACACTTTAACAAAAACTATAACTGCCTTCGGGAATAGATGTCCACATTAAAGTTCCAAGACTCCTTCCTCTGCAAATTGACTTAGCTCCTTTTTTTACTTTTAAAATTTTTTAGAAAGCAGCGTTTAAGATATACTTCATTCTTCCCTTCTAATTTTTTTTAATTTAAAAGAAATTTACCCTGAGAACATGAATGTATCTATGAGAAAAGTTAGGGATGTTTCAAGGAATAATTTTATGTCAAATTATAGTAATTTATCCTAAGTTAAAAACATTGTAATTAAGTTCCATGAGTACAAATCTCATGAATGCCAATTCAGACTAAATTAAAATTTTGTTCTAATTTGCCACAGTTAAATATAACTAATAAACTTTTTTGCTCTTGAGATAGTAGGGTAATGTACCATTTATCTCCATACAATAACACACTTAGGAGACCACCTATAAAAGCCCAGCTCTCAAAAATGAGCACTTTCTTGTGGTTGCCATGTTATTTCCTTAAGCAAATTCCCCAGAAATTCTATTCTTAGAACATTATACAAAAAGCTAAACACACAAGATACTCTTAAAGTACTCTGCACTTTAAAATTTTCTACTTATGAATTTATTATGTGACTCGGCTTAAAGACAGTGATGTTATAACCTCTGACCTATGAAAATAGGTCCTTAAAAGCACACTTAAGGGCAAGTCATTGAAATAAACGTTTTAAATAATTTTGCTAAAGTTTTAACCAGTTCATACCACTTGATCACCACTATCACCAATCAATATTGAAATGTCCATATTCTAATCAAGCCTGAGAGGGAAACTGGGAGGAGGCTAAATTTAAATACATATTATTTCAGATCCATCTGATTTTAACTAGCGAATAACAAGTCATTTCCAGACAAGGTGAGAGAGCGAAAACTGCGACTATTTCTGAAAACTCAGTTATGATGAAGCACATTCAAATTCTAAATGTGTGAGTTTCCCCTGCAGAAAATAATCTACCCCAGTCCACAATTATTCTTTATGACGGCCTGCGTTTTATCCTTATAATGTAGATGGTCAAAATGAAAACCAAAGGCATGACGACACAGAGCCATAGTCCCCAAGAGGAACTGTAAATGAAGACGATTCCACACGGCACAGGATTTCCCATAACATCCATCATTCTCAAACGGGGATCATCCGAAGGCTTCGCTTCAATACCCCAAAGCCTTTGTCCAGACTCCCAGGGGTCAGAGCTTCCTTTTTTCACGCCAAGCCAAAGTTGCTACGTGCGATCCGATGCTGTCGCCAGACCTTCAGCCAAAATGAGCTTTCAAATTAACCTGGACCGCCCAACATCCGTGCCTTTCCGTTACGCCGTCCCAAGGGCAAACATTCCACCCTACCTCGCTACAGGCTGAACTGTTCCCAAATCTAACTGAAACACTTTGGCCCCTCTCACGCCTAAAAAGCCGGGCCTTCAGCGCTTTCCTGCCACCACTGACTACGATGACATAGCAAAGGAAAAGAAAATACCTATGAAATCCTTCGAGATCTTCTCTCAAGAAAACTGGGAAGCGCGCACACAACAGCACATGGAGGATGACGGGAGTGTCGGTGTTTAGCAAGGAAAGAGGGTGCCCTAACGGCAGAAGCTATGCTAGCTCCCGGCGCGACCGCCAGCCCCGCCTTTCTCTGTTCTTCCGTCCCCGTCACCAACCCCTTCCCACCTCCGACGCCCCAAGGGTAACTGCTTCGCACTTGGCAATAAACACACACCACTGCTGCAGAGTCGGACACACAAGACCGGGGGCAGGGGGCACTCCTCGTCGCAGCAGCCTCCCCAGAACAAACAGAGAGAACCCTCAGTGAGCCTAGAAGAAGATGGCGCCCACTCTCCCCTCCGCTCCGGACAAACGGACGTACAGTTTGCCCATGCGCTCTCCAAGCGTAACCCACCCCCACAGGCGCCCCGGCCACGTTTGCGCACGCGCCTTGACGCTCACCCGCTTCCCGTAGTCGGCGGGGAAGGGAGGCGCCAGCCCGCCCCGGCTTTGCTCAGCTTCTGCGCATGCTCAGGTTCGCCAACCTGATCGCCTTCCCTGTTAAAGGGGAGATTCTTGCACAAAATTTGGCTTATGCTGGTTGCTGTATTGAGAAGCTTCAATAAGTAACTGCCTTAGAATACTGGACAGACGTTCGTCATTTCCAGGAGTTGAGAGAAGAGATATAAAAGCAGGGAAAAGTTGGCCTTTTCTCTGTCTTTACAGCACTACAGTTACTATGTAGTGTAAGCATCTTATGAAAGGATCTTTGTAAACTCTAAAAGACCACGGAGAAAATGCCAATCCCCAGAGGGCTTAATGAATGCATGCTTATTCAATTTCATAGACATTAATAACTTCATGCAGAAGTCCCTTTATATATTTGTTATTCCTACCTTCTGGTGTTTTGAAACAGGAGACCAGATAGGCCAAGCATGAAAATTGGGAAGTGGAAAGCATAATTACAGGCATGTTTTGTAATACCTGCTCTTTAATAGCTGGTGATCAACCCTGTGTTTAATTTTATTTTATTATTCGCAAATAACAAAGCCGCCCATCACGTTTATAACTACGTACGCATAGGTGGATTCAAACTCACTAAGAAGAAACCACACCTTTAAAACAGTTACAAATAAGAAAAATGAATTTCCAATCCCTCTCTCACTGCAAAATACCCATTCTTTAATTTAATGATATGGTTGTGAGAATGAAGAGGCAGTTTAACGAGTGGATAATAAGTAGTTCCTGGAGTGAGAGCCGCCGTTTACCCACTTGGGCAAATAACTTAGCCTCTCTATGCCTCTTCCTCATCTGTAAAATGGAGCCGATAATACCTACCTCTTAGGGGTGCTGGAAATGTCGAATGATTCCACGTGTAAGTATCTGAGCCTTTTTAAGTATTAGTGACTTGTTTCAAATGTCAAGGTAATCCATAATCAAGTAGAGGATGTCACCTTGTGGAGCTAGGCTCATTGACTAAGTACCATTTACCTTGATTATTCCCTGCAGTCCAGGGTTTGGTCCTGGCCTTGGAAGTTTAGGAACCTGAACTTAAAAGCTAATATTTATTGAGGGTTTATTATGTGCCAGGCCCTATGCAATGTCTCATTCTTACTACGTTTGGAGGTAGGTACTATTATTTTTCCTATTTTACAAATAAGAGAAATTGAAGCATAAGAGATTACATAGCTTGCCCAAGGTTATATAAATTGTACAAGCCAGGAACTGAACAGTAATTTGTTTCCAGAGGATACTACAGGCATATCTCAGAAACATTGCAGGTTCTGTTCCAGACCACTGTAATAAAGCAAATACCACAATAAAGCAAGTCACATGAATTTTTTGGTTTCCCAGTGCATATAAAAGTTGTGTGTAGTTTATACTATACTATTGCCTATTAGGTGTGCAATAACATTATGTCTAAAAACAACAGTACATACCTTAATTAAAAAATACTTTATTGTTAAAAAATGCTGCCCATCATCTGAGCATTCGGGAGTCCTAATCTTTTTGCTGATGGATGGTCTTGCCTCAGTGTTGTTAGCAGCTGACTGATTAGGGTGGTGGTTGTTGAAGGTTGAGATGCCTGTGACAATTTCTTAAAATACGACAACAATGAAGTTGGCTGCGTGGAACGACTTTTCCTTTCATGAATGGTTTGTCTGTATCATGTGATGCTGTTTGACAACCCATACGCACACAACTACTTTCAAAATTGGAGTCAATCCTCTCAAACCCCGCCACTGCTTTATCAACTGAGTTTATGTGCTATTCTAAATCTTTTGTTGTCATTTCAACAATCTTCACAGCATCTTTGTAAGGAGTATATTTCATCTCAATAAACCACTTTCTTTGCTCACCCATAAAAAAACAATTCCTCATTCGTTGAAGTTTTATCATGCAATTGTAGCAATTCAGTCACATCTTCAGGCTCCATTTCCAACTCTAGTTCTGTTGCTCTTTCCAGCACGTCTACAGGTTACTTCCTCTACTGAAGTCTTGAACCCTTCAAAATCATCCACAAGGTTGGAATTAACTTCCTCCAAACTCTTGTTAATGTGATATTTTGATCTCTTCCCATGAATCATGAATATTCTTAATGGCATCTAGAATGGTGAATCCTTTCCAGAAGATTTTCAGTTTACTTTGCCCAGATCCATCAGAAGAATCACTATGTATGGCAGCTATAGCCTTATGAAATGTATTTCTTAAATAAATAATATATGTGAAGCACAATAAAGCAAAGTGCAATAAAATGAGGTATGCCTGTACACTATTTCGCAGGGAGAGGATTCTGTCCTCTGAGGCAGACTCCCTTTAAAAAGTACATAAAAGCAATGGTCTAGAATGTCAATATGGATTCACAAGAAGAAACACTAGTAAAGTGATTCTGAGATGGACTCAGGCTGACCAGAACTTTCCTGGCTATACACATTCTCTATATGAAGTTGAATAATCAGAGAGCTGTTTGCTAAGCATGGAAATAGAACACAAGTTACCTAATCCCAAAAGATGTTTCTCAGTCACGGGTACCTAGAAGCATTCTCATCCATCTTAACAAAAATAACAGCTATCATTTAATGAACACTTACTTTAAGACACATCTGAAGTGTGCTTAGATTAGACTGCCTTCCTTGGACAAGCTTAAATAGGTATTGCCAGCCTCCTTCGGTGTTCTGGGATAATTATCCCTTTCTATTCACACAGATTTTCTCCAAACAGGACACTATAGTTCATGCATGTCTTTTATAATCTGTCTCTGCCCTTCTCAGATGACCACACTATAACAATTTTTAAAAAATTACAGTCAAGGTAATTGGGTTTAATTACATGGTATGCTGGTTATTGAATAGTTTCTTGAGCTTTTAGTGTGTCATCATGAAAACCTATTCATTTTAGAGAACAGAGAGAAAACTAAGTTTCTAGAACAGCAAAACAGAAGTCCATACCCTAAACATGGTAACCACACCAAGCCATGGCCAGTCTGTGGCTCTGCCTGGGCAATTAGCCAGCCTCCCCGAGTGTCTTTTCCAAAACAAGGTCTTCTGGATTCTCTCTTTTCTGTTTGTTCTCTTCTCTCTTTAGAATTTCTTTGTAAATTTTTAGGTCTTCCTCTTGCTTCTTTCTTTTGTTTTATATTCCTGAGGTTGGATGGAACCCAGAGAAAAGAAATTTACGCAGAAGGAGACATTCTGTTTCATGTGTGGTCCTGACTCTTTACTAGAAATGGTTTCCACACTAAGATTTGGGGATGCCAAAGCGTCATCTTATCAGTAAAACACAAAGATTTTATACAGTACCCTTTCTGCATGCCTCTTTTGTTAAGGTATAGCATTAATAGAATGTTCAGGATCTCAATCTTCTCCACCTTTCCACCATGAAGATGAGACACCCATTTACCTCAGGATGTGCCTCTGAGGACCACTGCAGAGGAAAAATAGGAAAGAATTATACAGGCCATCAGAGCAACATTTAAGATTTCATGTTATGCCTTTGTTGGTACTTCATTATGTGCCTTTAATGTGTGTGTGTGTGTGTTTGTGTGTGTGTGTGTGTGATGATTTTGGCTACACAACAACTCTGCTTTTGTCATGTTCATTCAGCAGGTGAAAAAAATCGAGGCATAGAGAGGTTTAGAAACTAAAGAGGCATAACTACCAAGTGACAGAGTTAGGTTTGGAACTATGGTATTCTGATTTCTGAGCCAGATTTCTTGATTTCTAAAATATACTGGAGTTTTTTTTGTGTGTTTGTTAGGGATTGTGCTAAGTGCTTTGCAAGCATCATTTTACTTAGTCCTCATAAGAGGCCTGTATTATGGGTACTGTCTCTTCTGCTGGTATGAACTTCTTGAGGAAAGAGAACTGTTCTTCACCTTTGTCTTTCATGAGCCTTAAACAAGGTGCTTAGCACACAGTCTATGCTCAATAAATACTAGTTGAATTAAATAAAAGTCAAGGTCTGCAAGAGGGATGAAGGTTGTGGCAACTGATAAGATTGAAGAACTCTGAGACCAAGTGATACATAACTGTTCTTGTAGATGTTGAATAGCTAGGAAGTGCAGCTGAAAACTGTCTGATACCAAAATCATTCCGGAGGTAGATAGTGCTCTAGTCGTGATAATACACTCGGGGAGGCTGGCTAATTGCCCAGGCAGAGCCACAGACTGGCCATGGCTTGGTGTGGTTACCATGTTTAGGGTATGGACTTCTGTTTTGCTGTTCTAGAAACTTAGTTTTCTCTCTGTTCTCTAAAATGAATAGGTTTTCATGATGGCATATAAACTGAATTCCCTGAACACTCAGGTCCCTCTCAATGCTTTTTCTCTGTCTCTCATTGTCTCACTCACTCTGCCTCTGAGAGGAGACCACGCTCTGTGGAGTGTTACTCCTTTTCCAATAAACTTTCCTTTTGACTCTAACTTTGGTGTGTGTGTTGAATTATTTCTTTACTCTCTGCCAAAGGACCCTTTTCTCTCTGTGCAGGGCTTGGTCTCTCCACATCAACTCAGGGAAATTTGCCCCGTCCTGCATCAATAACAAGTTACAATGAGCAGAAGTGTTTGGAGTCTTCTCCTGGGATTGGCAGCTGGTGCATGATACTCTGCTTGACACCTGTTGTATGGACACAAAAAATTCTGTTCCTTAGGACTACAACCAGAGGCCTTGTGGTTCAGGT